TCTGTGAATAGCCCGAGTAAATCTCTCTTGCATATCGCAGATAAAGAGCGCCGTCCTGGGAGGATCCAGCCTGGCTATACGCGTGGCAATAGGAGCCGACATGAGTGGAAGATGAGGAGAATGTGCGATGTTGTGCACCAAAGCTTAGTGAGAGTGCAATATGAGCATACGCTTGCAGCTAAAGGATCCTGGACTTGTGTCCGTGTGTCGGAAGGTGACCTCAGAATACAAGGACCACTCGAAAGCGAGGATGCGCGAGTATGGAGTCGTTGCCAAGGACAGTTCGAGGTGAGGAGTTGGATCGAGTCGTGAGTTTGTGGGACGGAACGAGGCTCACTGAGGGTGACGGATAATAGCATCAAGATGTACCGTACCGTACAAGTGGAGGCCCATGCCACTGGCAATCTCTCACGGCGCGAGCGGCAGTCGTGAGTGTGAGTCCTGGGTCGATGGTCATGCGCGCGCTTGGCGCGCGCATGCCGATGGCTGCGCACGGATCACGACGTTGCTCATCACGTGTGCAAGCCGATTCATACAGCCAGAGGCAAGGAGCACCGCGTGCTTCCAGAGTCCCATCCCTCCCCATCATCACGTCCTACCTACGGCTTCAATCCTGAGTCCACCACCTCGATCGACGCCTATAGCAAATTTGCTCCTCTCTTTGAGCTGGCTCTCCCAGCGTATCTGCTCTGCAGCGATCACCTGCTGTGTCATACCTAGCTTTCTGTTGCTCGCACCAATTTCCGCCAACTCACTTGTACGCAACCGTCAACATGGATGACTTGGAATACGAGTCGGTCCTGTTCGTCGCGAGAGAATGCTACGTATACAGGGTGTGAGTGCAAGCTCGCCCACACAGTCGGTCTTTTGCTGATGACAGAGTACTGCGCTCAGCCCGCCCCGCAAGTCTGCGGCAGGCTACAAAGCAGCAGAATGGGGTGACATGGAGGTGCGTAGAATCAGCAGAACGCAGCTGGTGATGTTGCTCAATTGCTGACTTGCAATCTAATCTGTGCCACATCCTGACGCATCTCTCTTCAGGCCTTTTTGTGGAAAGGAAGGCTGAGAGTCATCGAAAAGGGAAACGCATGCAGTATCAGACTGGAAGACAAGGACAGCGGTGAGTCCGGCGATCCCAAAGCGTGGGCTTGGGCTGGCAGAAGGATCGCATCTCGAATCTGAATTTTGGATGCTTCGGCGCAATGCGAAGGCCGCAACTCAGCTTCGATCTCAGGGATACCATGTCTCACCGCTTGAATCTCCGCCTCCCTCCTCAGGGGAGCTTTTCGCGCTGTCTCCGTACGACTTGTCTGGTCAGAGCGTCGAGCCTGTGTTGGACAGTTCCAGGTACTTCGTGCTGCGTGTGGAGAACGAAGGCGGGAAGAGGGCGTTCATCGGTATGGGTTTCCAGGATAGATCAGATTCTTTCGATTTCCAAGTAGCACTGCAGGACTGGACAAAGTGAGTCATTCTTGCTCCCCTGTCTCATCTGCGTTCACAAGTGTAGCGGGAGCATTCAGGCTCACTGCAAACTGTTGGCAGACGGAACAAAGCGGCGAAGGCAGCAGAAGAGGCCGCAGCGAGAGGAGAAGATTTAGCAGCTGCTTCAGGTGCAGTAGACAGCGGACCTTCGCCACACATCCCCACAGGACCCAAGCAGGACTACAGCCTCAAGGAGGGCCAGACATTCAGCATCAAGCTGCCAGGAGGCGGAGCTAGGAAGATTCGAGATGCGCCAAGCTCC